AATTTATTAGACAATAGTGAAACCCCCCATAGACTAAAAAGGTATAACATCCTTGATCTCCCTTATATATTTTAAAATTAGAAGAATGTTTTTAGTTATTTGTTTTTATTGTTAAAATTAATATTTATTTATATTAGATATTTGGAAGGTTTTTAATGGGAAACTATTCCGCTTAGTGTTATATTCTGTTGCAGTTCCAAAACTGTTTACCAGTTGCCAGAATTTGGCACATTGTGAAAAATAAATGATTGTGAAAAAAAAAGTTTGTTATTGACTACTGTCAATTAACTTTTGTTTTTATTTTCATTGATGCAAACCGATTCTAAATAGAGTTACAGCAATTTATATTACATATTTATATGTTTGCATTACTTTTCTATTTATAAATTTAGTCCAATGTTCCTCTAATGTATCTTTTGGCGTCTTTGGTGTCGGTGCCGAAAGTTTTTCCACTCCTGAATATTCCACCTGGAATGTATCCACCATAATTCGGCAACTGTCCAATATGCTTGTAATAAATCTCGGAAGGCTGGATCATTTGCGGTGGATCCAATCTGCAACTTATCGAAGTGTTCCATTCTGTAGCCAGACGCTGTCTGTAACTGGTACCAAACTCTTCCGGATGCCCTTCGTATGATGGTTGTCGAAGAGTGGTGTTGTGCAACGGCACATTACGATTGAAACAATTTCTTTGTTGCTGCACGAAAGAATTGTACATTATGATAAATTTTGACACAAAAAAAATGTAATCGAAATGAAATGTCACTTCAAAAGAAAAAACAAATGTATTAAGAAAATTTATTATAATTTAGATAAGATTCTTCATTCAGTAAATCTATACATTCCTGTTTATTAACTGACTAATTAATTGGGAATATCAGAAATTACCATACTAACTATGAATTTGAAATGATTTTTGCTCCTCAACAACTATTTTTTTCTTCATCCTAATTTGTAGTATAAAAAAAACAACTATCATTGACCTTTATGGCTTTTCAAATAAACACATATTTGTACATAAGTACAGTTATTTACGACGTGTGAATTGATGGATCTGTCGTACTCTCTGTCATTTTCAAGATTTGCTTTTGAGGTCCTGATTTCATTCATCAGACATGAAGATGAATAATGGCCAATTCTCATTTACTATACTGTGCTTCATTCAAAAAATAATCAAACTTCAAATATTTCGTATTAAAAAAAAACATGTTTTAAGATTATGTAAATTATTCTTAAGACGTATTTGGAAAATGTTATTATCTGAAAACAACAACAAGTTTATCGTCATCTCAGATCCAAAGGACGACAAGAAAACAACAACGTTTTGTGACAATTTTGAGTCCTGCTTTTAATTATAAAATCAGTTTTAAATGATGTTAAATTCATTAAATAATTAGAATTAATCTGTTTTTGTTGTAAAAAATATTAATTTGTTTTTTTTTAACATTTAATAATCGGGTCATTTTGACCCATAGGTAGTACTTGTGTTTTTTTTTTTAATTTATCCGTAGCACTAAGTAATTTGAAATCTAAAAGTAAAACAATTCAGAATATCTTTTATCATAAACAGAAAATTTGTCTGATAATTGTAACAATTATTAAATCGTAGAATGCAAATACTGACAAATACAAATAAACACAGATTAATGAAGATATCCAGTTTCATACGTAGCTACCAGTTTTTGCATGCAATTAATTCATACTATTTTCACTCGCCTCATTACGATAAATTAACATTTCAAGACTTGATTAATTCCAAATTGTTTAATTCTTGACGTCTGCTTAATGCAATTACTTATTATGCATAAATCAGTTAACTTACATTTGGATAAAAGAACAAGAGAAAATGCAATAATTGTGAAAGCGAAAAACATTTCTGTTGACATTTGGTCCGATAAATTTGATAGTTGACATAGCCTTGCGTATATAACTAATTGTACATAAATATTGGTGTTTTGTGCGCCCTTGGATCGTTCCTTGGACACATGCGGCGATTTTAATAGTTTGTTTGTATATTAGCGCAGTTTAATTTAATTAATTTCCCATGAATCAATGTCTATATTTATATAGACATTATTATTATGTTTGCAACGGAGAATCATTAATTTTGTACGTTCCTCGACAGGATTTCAAAAAAAAATACTTTCCATTTTTTTTGGGTGGTTTTGCAACGAGCATAAATCCTGTCATCCGGTGGAAGGATTCGTTATTTATGACCATCGTTTATTTACTGTATACACTGCTGTTTAAGTATATTTCATTATACGTATCTAAGATTTATTCATAATCCAATAAATATCCAAGTAACCTTAATCAACTAATACTACTTGAATGTGCCACTATTTTCAAATTCGCGACTACTACTAAACCAATGAAGATACCTACTTTGATGTAATGATGATTTTTAAATCAAATATTTAATCAACATGTTGATGTAATTACAGTTTAATATAAGAGGTATGATGAATTGCAAGTGATGAATGGGAGACTATAAATCAGAATAGTTAATTTACTCGACCAGAAAGAGGTGTAGGGATTTCCCCAAGGAGGAGTATTGGCCCCGACATTCTTAATACATAACACCTATATATACACTCGACATTGGAAAAGTTTACATAGAATTATTGTTCGCGAAAGTTTCCAACGAAAACTCTTTCTAATTAGAATTAAGTTTAGAAAGGATTGATTTTGGAATAATCTTATTTAAATTAAATGTATTAAAGATTAGAAAACACTATTTTTATAAGATCTTAATTACTTATAATTATTAATTTTATTGATATTCCTATGAGAATGACAATAAGTTAAGAATAATATAAATATAAAATGAAGGAAGGTGAAACCGAAAACCATATAAATTAAGTGCGAAGATAATTGAGATATATATATGTGAATCCATGCAAACTATACTCAGCTATCACCATTTTTATCTATCGATCTATTGATTGTGTAAATGATTTATGGAATTATCTCCAAGATCTAACATATCATCGTCGTCGGTTTTTATTGTTAGGATGGAACAGGTCGCGGATATTCTTTGTGCATATTATATAGAAGTCGGGGCCGAACGGGGTCAGGGATACTTTGCACTGGCCTCTATTTATCGCCACTAATTTATTTACCATTATTTTGTTCAAAGCTAATGCATCACTGCTGATGATACACCCTTATATATTCATAAATCAAAGTCTTCTCTGATTTCGTGCCACGGCCAATATCCAATATACCAGGACATTATTCGATGTGTTTGTGAAGGAAAAAAAAACAACGCATAGAATTTTTATCAAGATCATACTGTAAAAATCAAATATCTCGTACATAAATGCAAAAACAATATTAACACATAACAGTTTTGAAAACTTTTAATTATTATGCAAACACTTGACAATGTGTGTTGTGTGTATCTCAACACATTTTTTTTTTGTAGTCTACAGACATTATACAAATACATTAAGTGTATGATCTTATAGGTCGATTTCTTAGTAGTTATCCTTCTACAATTATTGTAATTATAACCAATTTGATTAATATAGAGGCAAAAGTATTTTGCGAACCGGTTAAATTTTAAAACAAAAATAAAATGATGTATGCAGTCAATTGATTCAATAATTTTATAACAACAAAATATATTTTTTTTTTACATTTTTCGCGAAGGGTTGATTAACTTATTAAAATAATTTCTTGTTTTTATCAGTAAATATCTAAATATTTTTTGTAACACTAAGAAATTTTGTTCAAGAGTTCAAAAAATTAACATTTCAAACTATAGATCAGGGATTTCCAATACTGTCCATGTTAAAAAATCAAGAAGGTCGAAGTACAACAAAGGGAATTCCTTGTATAGACCAATTAGACCAGTGATTCTCAAACTTTTTGGTTTGCAACCCCCTTTTGTACATAAAAACTATCTGCGACCCCCCGAAGAATTAATTAATTAATTTTATGCCACCACCCAAATATTTTACGCGATCCACACTTTGAGAATCACTGTTTTAGTGGAGACGCCTGCTAGAAGCTATAGAAATTGGACAAAAAGTGAATAGGTTGAGATCCGACAAGTTTTCATGATTGCGTAAGATGGGTGCCACCCTTACGCAACTTTTTATGAAACAAAAGTTACGAAATGTTTGTTACTTAACAGGGAATACACGCTTTTTCCGATTTTTCTTTAAATGGTTTTTTTTTATATATTTACATGTCTTTTTATTTAATTGAAAATATTTACATGAGTTTTTAGTAAATTGAACATTTTTACATGGTTTTTTTTCTGATTTTTTTCAGTTTCTCGACAACCCTTTAAGATAATTACATCATCGACCACACCATTTAAAGCTGAATACCTCACCTTTCCAACAAAACTTTTGGCATATTCGTGCTGTATTGCAGTGATTCTCAAACAAGTTTCTGCGACCTTCCGAAGAATGGGTATGTGTAGAAAAACACTCACGGTTACGACCCTCACTTTGAGAATTACTTCTTCTTCTTCTTCCTTCCCCATCTTCATTTGGTTTCCGCATTACGCGCCAATAAGCCAGCCCCTGTCTGTGTTCTTTGGATTCTTCGGATTTCCTCTTCCGTCCAAATAGTTAACGCAACCAGCTTCTTCCAATTACAACAAAAATTTCCCTCTTCAAAACAAATAATCAAAATAAACGACTTCTTCTAACGAAACTAAAAAATAACTATTAAATCCAACTTAAACTGACTTCTATAAAATATGTACATAGGAGAGATACGGCAAGACAGGTAAATACAATAAAGGTAGCGGATCCAACACAAATATATAACGAATTTCAAACCGGGGTCTCAGCAGTTCAGTACTCAGGTTCTTGGAGAGACCTCGAAAAGGCTTTGAGAATTACTGAATTAGACCACTTACTATATCCATCTATAGAAATAAAATAAAACTCAAAGAATAAATACAGTTTTCTCCGACTTTAGCTTTTCAACTTAGAAATTAGATGGAGCGCATAACAAAAACTGAACTTTAGTATACTCGAACCTCTTCACACGCATGTTCCTCCATTGCCTATAATCAATTTTAATAATATATCTACTGTATGTAAGCACCCTCATTATATTTCTCCTGAGTGTAACCATTTAATAATTGAACAAGCAAAAATGACTTCAGCAAGTAGCACCAGTGCACGATCATTGTTCGCCGACTCTAAAATGAGACTTGCTGAACGTGTCCAAGTGAATGTTAACTATGTTGCATCCTTGGTCCGACAGATAGTGAGGGGTTCAAAATCTAATGAAGTATATACACACAATATATAAAAATAACATCATCACTTATTCTATATACTTTCAGATTTTAATGCATTCAGCTAGGAATTTCGCCTTGCAAGAACATACCATTGAGAACACGGAAGCAAATCTGAAGAAATTGCAAACTCTTTGTAATAATTTGGGACAGCAGCAGGATCATTTAATACGAACTTGCCAGCAAATTGAAGAGGTCAAGGAACAAGTCCAAGCCATGCAAAGATGAATCTAGGGAAATGTTTTTATTATATTACTATTGTGATAATAGATTTTAATTATTTATTGTATTTACTATTATCTTTTTATTTTTCCTGCTTTTTTTCTTTATTGATTGATTTGTTTAAATTTAATTTTGCTACCATGAATAATAAACATAAACATGTCTTTAATCATTGACAATTAAAAAACGATGTTATTATTTCATAAATTTTCTATTATTTGTATTTAGTATAAGATATCTGTTAAGCAATTCCTAATGACCTTTTATTTAATTTAATGGAACTTAAATAAATGATAGATATAACATATTTTGTAGTAATACTTATTTATAATTAGATTAATAATAATGATTTACCTCAAACCTTAAAGTAGTTCTTTGTAAGATAGAATCTTGAGACTCATATATTTAGTTAAAGTGTATATTTACTTGCTTTAGAGTAAATATACACTTTCATATTATATATTTCAAACATATTCATTCTCAGTTATTTAAGATGGATATGAAATTTCTACAATATTATTCAACTTTAATAATTTTACTACTATTAACTAATTAATGGAAAATGAACGTGGGAAACATAAGTAAATAAATAATTAGTGCTAAATTGGTATTTGTAAAAATTAGAAAAAATATATTTATTGAACTACAAATTATGGAAGCAACAATCATTGGCCGATTATCCATTAAGGCAATGAGGTCTAAGGGCCAAAGTTCTTCGGGTGGGGGGTCCTGAAGCAAAAAAAGTACTTAGTTTCCTATTGTTATTTGTAAAAATAATTTGCCTAGGGGCCCTTAATCCGCCACTGGCAACAATATTATATTGATACCCAGCCCCGAAAGGGTGTTAGAAATAGGGCTATAATACATAACATACATATGTTGATAAATAAAAGAGTGCCACCTATCGGATTTATTATAAAACTCGAGATGAAGATCGATAAAGCAGCGAGTTCCATTGACATTCTGTTTATAACCTCCTTTCCGTTGGTTCCCTTCTATTAGCTGCTGAGCATTTTTGAGCAGAGGTAAATATCCTATTTTTTTGTAAGCATCTTTACTTGTATGGTGTATATTGTTGGTAAAATAAGCAACAAATGCATCAATCATTCAAAGACAAAATGTATTTCCTATCGTCGATCGCTATTTTAAGAAATAACGATATTTCTATTTTACCGGGATTAAGAATCCATTACTATAAAAGTATAAAAGATTGAACCGTTCGTCTCGTGTTGATTATTGCTAGGTACGTAATATATTCTATGTGTAATTCTATAAAATATATCCCAAAAGATGCATTTAGACTTTGATTTATTTATAGTTAAATCAAAGCTCCATTGATGCATTTATTTGGGACGGCTAAATTCGTGCTCTTTTTTTTTATGATGATTTACCAAAGGTTTCGCAAATTATTTCTCTTCTGAAAACATTGATGAAAATCTTGGCAGACTGAATTTACTTTAAATTATCACTGTTTCGTAAATTTCATAAATGTGGATGTGTATATTAATTATTTGATATTTTTTTACATAGCATCACAATGCCAGAACAAACTGAAGTTGAGAAGCCCACCGTAGTGGAGGCTAAGCCAGAACACAGTGAATCTTCCACAGACAGTGATACTGATGAGGAAATTCCTGATTTGGAAGATCCCAGCACCACTGCTGCTGCTGCCGGCGCCGCGTTCTCTGGCGCTGCAGCCGCTGCTGGTTTACCCATGGACATGTTGTCCAAGGCCAAACAATCCCGTGGAGAAAAGAAGGCTCGCAAGATCATGTCCAAATTAGGTCTGAAACCAGTAAGTCCAATAACAATACTAAAAATTAATATTTTAAAAATTTACATGATGATACTACCCAAAGGTTTCGCAAAAATTATCATCTGAAAGTATTTTGATGAAAATCTTGGCAGACTGACTCAGCAATAATTTATTATTTGTTAATTTCTTGGTTGTAAAACAATACTTATTACTATCGTCTTTTATTTGCAGGTTCAAGGTGTCAATAGAGTAACCATCAGGAAATCAAAGAACATCCTCTTCGTAATAAACAAACCAGACGTATACAAGAACCCCGTCAGCGACACGTACATCGTTTTCGGTGAAGCCAAGATTGAGGATTTGTCTCAGCAAGCTCAAGTTGCCGCCGCCGAGAAGTTCAAGGAAGTGAACCCAGCTGGCGATGGTGCTGCTGGCACAGCAACCACCTCCGTCGCACCAATTGCTGAAGAATCTGAAGACGAAGATGTTGATGACTCAGGTGTAGAGGATAAGGATGTGGAATTGGTTATGACCCAAGCGAACGTCAGTCGTTCAAAGGCTGTTAAAGCACTGAAGAATAACCAGAATGATATAGTGAATGCAATTATGGAGCTTACAATGTGATTCATTTAATACATCATTCATTTCTTAATACTATTCTTACCAATACAACAGTTTCTCTTTATTATTTCTCATTTTAATTCAGGACACTTGAATAACAGTGAAAGTACATTTCTAATAAATATTTAGTCATTAATTATTTGTATTCTTTAAAAATACTAAAAACATTTTTTATATACTTTTATTGAATGTCCTATACCTATCACAATGATGAATTTAAAAAAAAACATTTTATTCCTCACATTTTTAGAACCCCATTTCTATTAACAATTATAACAATTTTATAGTTATTTGTTAATATATTGAAGATAGTGAATGGAAACAAAGTTAAAAATTCAATGATATAAAAGATTATTCTATCCAATATACTATACAATTTGACAATTATATTAATTATGAAACTATATGAGCAGAATGCCGGTGGACAAATTTTATTTTAGTAAAGAATGTGCATGTTTAATAACAGAAAGTGAAGTTTAAAGTATCGATCTAAACATATTTTAAAATAGTTAATACCAACATGAAAATTATAGTGACAGTACTAGTACCACTTATTGTTTCGTCGTACGCAAATGCAGCAAAATACTCCAGTGATGTTTTTTTTTTGTTTGACATACATGTCAATATTTCAAATAAAGTAGAATCCGAGCCAAAGAAAAATTGTAAAACAAATCAAAATTCGACTGTCTTCTCATATATAAATAAGGAAAACTGGCGCATTACAGCAACGCATATACGGGCATGGAAGTCGATCCATGCCCAAGTACCTCTGCAGGTATTGTAATCATAGTTTATTATCAACATTCAAAATAATCAATAATTAAAAAGGACATTTTTTACGTACAATAGCAATAATACATGATCTGATGAGAACTAATTAGATTCGTAATATTTGCCATTATCCTATAACAATTATAATAATGATGCATATTATAAATATAGGTTATATAATAATTATTTCAAAAATCTGCCCACAGAACAACTTTCACCAAAAGCAATATTACCAAAAATAGATGAGGACAATGTCTTAGACTTCCCACATCCCAAGGAGAAAATCATGGAGATTTTAGATAATCTTGAAGGGCATGTGGAAAAGCTGAGGAAAGATGCCTCAAAATTGGAAGAGGAAAAGGATAATATTTTATCATCTTTAGATACAGTGAAACTGCATCCAAGTTTAAATGACTTGATAGGCTGTAAGTATATGAGCAATCATCCAATACCTAATAACATTACAATACTGCTCTTCAGTGGAGAAAGATGAAGCTTTAAGATACTTGGATCGAATAGCTACTAGATGCATGACAGTAGATGTTAAAGTTTTCACACAGAGGGATAAATCACAGGAGGAAGCATTGCATCAAGTGAATCATCTCATTGATAATTTAGTGGTATGTCTGAAAACTGATCCGGATGGTGCAAAGAATCGTTGTTTGACATACATGAATTCATGTTCATCTCAATTGAATGGTCTGACAGATAAACATTTTGAATCTGTACTGCTTGGATGCACAATCGATGATCAGAAGAAAGTTAAGAAGAGGTTGCATGGTCTGCTCAGATACTTTGACAAAATGGGGTTTGCCATCGAGGTCGATTAAGGTTTGACTAAAACGTTGTTTAATATTTATTAATATGCTAATACCTTACTGAAAGAATGAAGTTTTTATATTTGTTTAAGAGTTTTATTAAAAAGAATATATAAATATATTTATTAGATGTTGATAATCAAAATTGATCGAAATTGCATTTTTATCAAATAAATCGAATTATTTTTCTGCTTACATTATTTATTTTATTACATACAAAATTACAATCAAATTATGTCTTATTTCGAATTGTTTGCATTTATGTAGTGATATAGCACTACCAATAGGAATAGAGTGACACCAAGCGCATTGGCCAATATCGCTAAATGGACGTCGGTAACCATCTGAAATAATAATAAATAAAATTAAGCAAAAGTAACAAATTTTACTTTCATTACATTCTATACACAATAAAACAATACACTAAAAACATACATCATCAAAAAAAAACACTCATAAGATACTATTATTACCATGAAACTAATTAGTTACCGTTTAATAAATAACGAATATTTTACAATTGAATTTGTGTGCATGGAATAATTTGAATTTTGGAGGGACGTTAATCAAAGCATGCAGCGCCACATACGAAAACCTGAAAGATTAACGTCAATGTTGTGTATGTAGCGGTTTTTCTGGTAAATGTAATAAAATATTGCTGTTGGAATTTGGCAAGAATTGTCGAGACTGTGAAATTTAATACATAAATTAATTGGTAAGTTGACAAATTGTATACATGCAGTAATTGATTATCTTTGGTTACCGGATTTATTTTACTGAAAGCTCGCTATTTAACCAACAAAATATACAACCTATTGTCACATATGTATTATTATCATATAGAAATTGCAAATTTATCACTTACTTTTTTAATTGTACGATATTTTCTTCAAAATTTCAGTTAAAAACAGCGAATTACGTGGCTGTTGTTTCTTTGTGTTCTGTCAGTGAGTTTATGAAGCTCCCACCAGACGTCAGCACTTTACGTTTATTACATGTTTACGTCGTAATGCTTTTTGGATTTTAATGATTTTTTCATTTCCATTTCAGAAATGTTGGTTGCATCTATCTCATCGAAATTGGTTAGCCACGAATGGCAAACTGGGAACACCCAGAACGAATATGGATCTGACAGTGGATCAGATATCAATACAATCTCTTGGTCCAAGGATGGGGCCTGGATGGTGATGGTACCTAGTATAGGAAACCCTGAGATCTTATCATTTAACAATGATAAACTGAAATCAATTTACACCATAAAGGGTATATCAGGTGTAACATGTGCCTCCTTCCAAAATAACAGCAAAAGAAATGTTGTTCTTGGAACAGATTCTGGCCAATTAATGGTTTATGATATTAAAACAAACTCAGTGAAGAAAAAATTTCAGTACGCTCCAGCCGCATTGTTCAAAATACAATATTGCCTTAAAGACACTCACATTGTAGCTGGATGCGAGAATGGCGAAATTTTTGTCTACAATAACAACAGCGGCCTGTTGTCGAGCAATTTCAGAGTATCGAAATCGAAAACCTTAATGAATTTTGAATGTCACAACTTCAAAAGAAATCTGATTGGAGGTTGCAGTGAAGAAGGTATTGTTGCTGTCTGGGACATCAACACCTCTAAATCGTTGGCGTCTTACGAATGCCACAATGCGGCCATCACAGATATCACCTTTTCGACTCTAAGATCTGATTATTTGGTATCGGCCGGAATGGATCGCAAGCTATGCTTTTACGATTTCATGAACAAGAAGCCTTGGAGCAACATCAAATTACCGAAGATTCCAACTGCAATTGACTTTTGCCCAGATGGTATAGGTTTACTTGTGGGATTTACAGATGGAAAGTTAATAGCGTACGATACTAGAAAAATGTCCGAATCGCTTGCTGCATTCGACGGACATGATTCCAAAATTCATCAGATTATCTTCGAAAAGCACATGGACGAAAAGATTAGCGAAATAAGCCTACCCGAGGAGTCGAACGAATCCATAGAACCAGTCAGGGAAAAGTCCACTCAGGATTCGTTTGCAAAGATGTTTTGCGGCGATCACCTGCCGGACATACCTGAAGTCGAAAACGAGTCTTGTTCTAAAGATAACATCCGTGACTCTTTTATGGATGCTATGTGCTTAAATTCAATAAATCAAAGTTCACAATCCATTCGAGATCTGCACTTGAGCAAGGACAGCAAACTCTTGTTGCCAGAAAGGATACCCACTGAGAGTGATATAACGTTCAAGAGCGTCGTCGAAAAATTCAAAGCGAGCCAAGCATCCACACCGAATCTGAACAAAAATCCTCTTGAAATTTCTGCCACAGTCTCGCCCATAATATCGCAAAACGCTACTAAACTAGATACAACTCCACAGAGTTCTTCCAGAAAGACTGATATGAAAATTTCTAATGCCAATGAATATATTGCCGATGACAATGTGAAGGCAGTAATACGGGAAAGTCTGAAGGAAACAGTACAGAAGGTAGTGCGTGAAGAAATGGATGAATTTAGAAAGGACATGAAACAGCAGCTGCGCGACATCATTTACGACATTTACAAAGAGGAAGTAGAAGAGTTCAAGACTGAATTAAAATATCAATCGTACGATGTTATGGGAGCCACGAGGAGACAATTTTTAGATCTACACATGTGCGTCATTAAGGAATTCATTAAAGTTGAAGATCAGTTCAGTAAGCTGAGAGAAGACCTGTTTACGGGTGACTACATCAGCGATTCCATAGTTCAAGAAAACATGAAGCTGTCCAGAGAAATCACACAATTGAAGGAAAAATTGAATGGAAATAAATAATTAAATATAAGTGTCTTATTTATCTTATTAAATATAGTTCGATATTTTTTATACCAATAAAATTTTCTCATATATTAAACTAGTTTTATTCTGCTGCATTTTCATATATATATATAAAAAAAACAGGAAAAGTTAAGTAACGTTTGGCAGTGGTTATTCTTATTTCCTTATTTTAAAATTAAATTAAGAGTGCAATAATAGTGGAAAGTTTGAATTTATATGAAAAAATAATAGATAAAAACTAATCCTAGTTATGAAGAAATTAATATCAAATAGGTGCATTGTGTAAACCCGTCTTATATTTATTACGATCATAAATAAAACAAAAATAGAAACCTACATTTTAACAAACAAAAATAAAGATTTGTACATTAAATTTCTCGTAAATTATATACAAATAGTGGAAAACTCTTAATTTATATATGAACACATTTCTGGCCAAATCACATATACCTTCTGTTGCGTCGAATTTCTGGGCTCCGAGTACAATAACAAGGATCCGGTTGCCCACCTGAGGTATTCATCATCGCGCTAGTACTTCTATTGTGCAAGTTCTGGTTGTAAATAGCGCCGCAGCTTCGATTCATAACATCGGCTTTTGGATTTGAAAGAACATTTACGTTCACCGTTGGTTGCAAGTACGTAGAATAAACTAAAAGAAAAAAATTAATTGAATTTTATGGTATAAGAGTATTAAATATGTCGCATACCGAAGAAACTTGCGAAGAACATCACAGCAACTGCCACCACAATTCCTACAGTCATCCTGTGCGTATGAAGGAAAGTCAAAAAGGAGGTGTTTGAACCTAACGGACATTGTCTAATGAATCGATCTGGATTTTGGGCTTTAACCAACACCTAAAATATAAACAATTCAGAATATAGATCGCATTTCAATTAATTCATAACTTACCAAAACCATTTGATTTGTCTGTTTCGAATGCACCTCAAGGCTCATATAATTACGAGAATCCTCCCAATGTTGGTGATAATCAATTAGTTTGACAACGCAAGTCAATTTATTTTCTTCGACCTTAATACTTTCCACAATTAAGATGGAATCATCAACTGGTTTTATCTGCGACAAAAAATAAATGGAAATAATATTTATAAACATTGATAGTGCATCATGTTACATACTTCGATATCTTTTAAAACGCTGTTCAATCCCATAATTACTAAAGTTCCTGTAAAGGTGGAATCGTCCAAAAGGATTTCGTTTGGAATATAAGGAGCTGGTACGAATTTCAATTTAACTTCTTGAGTTAACACATCTTGTGCAGACACTTTCATAATAACATCCGTGGTAAGTAGATTATACTTTTTATTACTTTCCGGCGTTGCAGCAATATCACAATAGTATTTTCCTAAAATTTTATAAATAAATATTTATAATTAATAATACCTGATAAAAAAAACTTACCTTCTCTGAAATTAAATTTAGGTGTTACAATGAACACATCGGCGGGGGTTTCTGCAATAATCTTATTATCAAATTCCAATGCGCATTGAATTGGTGGTTTAATAGTCAGAGTACTAAGATACATAGCGCAATCCCATCCAGTCACCTTAAATATACAAATGATATTAAAAATTTCATTCATTAATAATAATTAAATAAATGTTACCATGTTGTTCTTCCTTTTTACATGTTGACTCTGCAATAACACATGAGCTTTGTATGTTTTTTCTGGAGCATTTGTAAGAACTTCTGTATAATCATCGAGGATAATTTCGGATATAGGATTGACACGAATTTGCAAGGGGGCAGCTGTATGTAACGAGTGAATCACGGAAGCTTGACCACCTTTTACTCCTGTTGCAATTATTACACCTTTCCCGTGTTCATTTAATATACCCACATCCGTTACTGTCCAATCGCCTTCATCTTCTTTACCAATTAAAGGAGATTTGAAACAAACCACATCCCCAGTAATAACTTGATCCTTAAACAAATAACCACTCAAGTTAATAGGATAAAAGAATCGTTATCCGCAAAATTGAAATTACATGCTACTTTATAAAATAACATGAACAATTAAGAGTAATTTAGTATATCAATATTTACCACGGATGGCACAATTGCTTGTTCAACATGAAGTTTAAGGTAATCCGCGGTCTTCTCGACGCCTTCGGACCATACTTTAAACACGGTCACACCCACTTTCCTAGTAGACACGTGGAATGTGAAATTATCGTTTCCGCGCTTAATCCTGACCAGATCCAATCTGCTAGTGATAATTTGCAAGTTCTCAATGTTGCTGCCCAAAAACTCGTTTCCGGTATTATCGTAGAATGTTGCCTCGATTTCAAATTCCGTTCCTAATGGTACAACAACAGTGGGACTCGACATCTTTACCATCCAATTGGAATTGATCGATAACAACATATAGTGAATTGGTTTAACCTACAACGCAAACAAAATATTGGTAGTACACCTGTTTTTTTTAAACAATTTTTTACTAGAAACTTACCTCGATTGGTAAGGTAGTGGTTTGTTTCAATCCGGTAGTGTCAACGGAAGATATGACGATCATCGAATGTCCAACGTTTCCATAGCTTCGCACCAAACCACCCTGAGTTACCGAAACTGGATTACATGTCGTCGAATGTTGATTAGTCTGCACGTCCGTTGTGGATAGTGCATTATCTCCGTACAATCTAGCAAAAAGTATATCATCATTTGAAATCCTTGAAAACTAATTTCGAACGTACTTATAAGTAAGATGACCCCATGAATCCATGTTGGTTTTTAATTGAACTTGTGAATAAGGTGCTAGGAACACGGTCTTCCCATTCAATCCCTTTGGCTCAGTTATAATCAATTTATCGAAAACCTCCACTTCGATGGATGATGCGTAAATATACTTTTTATAATTCGTAGTAGTGTATGTTGCATTTAAATATATAACTGTGTTGCCTGGATTTAGACCCTTCAATCTGATTGAAAGCATGTCGCATGGTTTATATTCAACACCTGAAATTTACAGTTATAATATGATAGTTTCAATTTAAAATTGAATTTATTCACCGGTGGGTTGGAATGGTCCGGTAATTTTAGCAACATCGGAATCTTGCACGCCCCAATCAAAACGAACAGGTGGATCAATACTACCCAATATCAATGGTGTTATCTGTTCAGGAACACCGGACGCCCACAACGGTATAGTAGCACCAACTTGCATCCTAGTCAAAGGTCCAGATATTTTTATGGAAGACAGTTTTATAACTTTCACTTCAACTGCATCCTAACAACAAGCAAATCACAAAAAAATAATATATATTGAACTTATTTATCAATAATTTATTTACCTCAGTATAAATAACTCTCTGTCCAGTTGTTGGGTTTGTGCCCAAAGCTCTTGCCATTACTCTGGTTTTTCCAACTGCCACTCCTTTGATAATACCATTATTCGTGATCTCTGGAAAACAAAAGCATAATTACATCAAATTTGATGTGGTACAATGGAAATAATGAGATTATTTACGGGCCGTTTCTGGATTTTTAATACTGTATTCCAAATGAGGAGTGGGTTGTGGTCCTCCTCTACTACTATACTGTATATGGGCGCCTACAGCTACAGTAATATTGCGTGGATATAAACGCAAAGGTGGAAAAACTTGTAGCTCCATGGCCCCACTTGCCACGTATCCATCATACTCTGGCTCTCCAATAGAAAATACCAACTTTGTATCACCCAATTCAGAACCTAAATAAATAACGTGTTAAAAGCTTATTAATAGCAACATTGATAATTCAATTATACCAGTAACTATATAATGCAGCTCTCCCGAATTCACAATCTCCATTTCCTCTCTGATCTTCTTTTCAATTTTAGCAATGTCTTTATCAAATACGTGGTTGATTTCAACCAAATCCAAGTTCGGAACCATCAGTAAGTTATCGAATTCATCGTACAACCTCACAATGCACGTGATGCATTTCCCAACTTCCACCTTATCAGACATCTCTACTCTTATTATGTGAACGGAAACCACCGTGGCAGAGATTATAGCTGGTTTCGAAATCAAACACAAGTCAATCAATTTTATGGTTAATATTCCATCACCCTTTGGCGTTATCTCGAGTTGGCGACTCTGTGATGAATATTTAACATCTGCTACATCTTCTTTGTCCAATGCAATTTGGTAGAAGCCCGATCCCTGTTTCACTTCCAAAAATTGTTTATTCGCAGGGTGATTGTACATAGATATGATATTCGGCGTAACAAGTGTATCATCTACCAAGTACAAAGTGATAGAAGATTTTATCGGTGGTAATTCGATTTTCTTTTCGTCATCATCGAGGAAAGCTGGCCATTCAGGAGTCACCTTATTGGCATTTGTAACGTCTTTTCTATAACCAGCAAGTTTGACGAGAATGGTGATTTGTCCGGTTTCTAATTTCGGCAATATTTTCTGGTAACTTTTGTCCGCATAGAAAGCATTTCCTATTAACAAAGTCTTTTCTTGGATACGCTTTTTATTTCCAAGTTCGGCAGCTTTTTTCTCCGATATTTCCCATTCAAACAAGAAACTAGTAATATTCATGAATTCACGTCCTTTGTCGTCCTTTACTTTTATTATTAAGTCTACATCACGATTACTTTCCACCACAACGCGATCTGCGCTTAAATCCATTGGACATGATTTTGCGTCTGCCACTTTGATTTCAGGCTGAAGTTCAATGTGTCTGGGTTTGCTGCAATGTACTGTTACTGTAGCCGTGGCTTCCTTATTCTTACAATTTGGCAGGTTGGGTATGTTAGATGCTTTTAAAGTAATATCAGCTCTTCCTAATTTGTGACAAACAACTGATACAACTGTATAATCATCATCTGAAGGCATTTTATAACTTTTTGTTGTTACTGTCGCTGTTGCTATTTCTGGTTGATTGCTTGTCAAATATTTATTTGGAGCGATGCCTAGGACGGACGGAGGACCTCCAGTAAATATTAAATTCGTTCGGGTACCGACGGCAAGAACAATAGTTCCAGTTGGCTGCATTAGGAAAAGCGGCTTGTAATAAGATACGGAAACGCTATCTTGTAGCACTTTCCCATTTATTCCCAAATAGCTGACGGTTACTTTACTCGATCCAACTTCGGAACTTAATATTGCAAGACTACCGCACGAAATACCAACTGGGATAGATGTTAATGCCCGATTAAAGTTGAATTTGGGATCGCTCATTTTTACTTTAAAAGGTAACTCTTGGCATTTCGTGAATGGAACATACGTGGGTTCCTCTTCTCCTTCAATTTTTCTTTCCGCATACAAAGCAACATGCAAGAAAATCACGGTACCTATTTCAGCTTCCATTACAAACTCTACAATTTCCAAACGAGAAGGTGGTAGAATATGAAACCTTGAAGAAATAACGTATAAAAAAATGATAATCTAAATGAAAATAACTTTGAAAATTACTTTGCTGTTTGACGATTATGGTGATTTCTATGCATTGATGCTGACACTTCAAAATATCCTTGCGAGTGTGTGTGGACTTTTCCTTGTTGATTAACAACTCCAAGCGAATGATTAGAACTGCTCCATAAAAACTTGCCATCACCTCCAATCGCCTTGATATCAATATCATATCTAAAAAAAATAAAATAAATGTCACTCATAAATTAAATTATTAAATATGTCATCGACATTATACACGTGAAATGCAATTATTATTTTATAATGTGGGTATTTTAACATTAACGACAGTATTATCGTGCCTATCCAAATATGAACAAGGCATCCTGGAATTGGAATACCAAAATAATATATGTTGTATGAACAAATTGAAATGCTGTGAGGTATCAATGATGCGCAATATCGATGATCTGTCGACCACCATCACAGGCTGTAGGAACAAGCTGTCAAGAAGCGCTCATATGGAGGATAGAGGTCTTTGTCAGAGAAACATTTCCATTCGATTCAACCTAAGTTATGATAACAAAAGCAGTGCAGAGGTATTTGAAAGCATTGTAATAAATAAAGCGAGTGACGGAAAGAAAGTCCGAGATCTTCGTAAACCTTTTTTAATCAAAATCAAGCAACACAAACCTCAGGTTTACTTCAACTTGCTAAATGTGGGTACTGTTAATTCAGAACCCAAAGAGGTGGTCTACAACAAGCATGATGGCAACTACACAGGCTGCAGCGTTACTGAAAATCCAACATGTGGAATTGTAACTTACGGCCACAAAGAAATACCATTTAGTAGAGGATTTTGTTGTTCCTGCGAGGAAAGAAAAAATCAAGATTCCTGTTACGAAAATGATTTGGTGGTAAATGAAGACGAGAAGTACATTATATACACACAAAGACCATTGGATAATGTATCAGATTATCAAGATGAGAAGAATACACGTTTAGGAGGGAGAAAACGCATGGTAAAACTAAATGTACGATTAGATGGTTATAACTTTCATAAATCAAAACATGTGAAACGTATTGCCTGCAATACGGATTATAATACGACTCGACCAACACCGTCTTGTTTAACTTTTAACATAAAATGCCCATATACGCACAAACTACCCACTGATGAATACAATATATTACCAAATCTGAAACCGTTGACCCCAGAGGAACAATTGCAGCATACATATGAGAGTTTAAATATTGAAAAATACATAAATACAAAGTTAAATTTAAAGGATGACGATAAACCAAAAAATATATATTATAGTATCGATCCACAAGATTTAGGACCTAAAAATGGCGAAGAAGGTACATTATATATACCTTCAAAACCTGATAAGTTTTGCTTACATAAAACCACTGAAACGATTAAAGAAGATGCAATTAATAGGTACTTCCACTCGCATATGGACAAGAAACCGTTATATAACAAATACGACTGTAATGAGAAAGTTGACAAATGCAAGAAACTTGACGAAAAATACGATTCATATGAATACAATCACAGGACCAAACAAGAATTAGGAGATACGTGCATACAAGTACGCGGTGGGCAGAATTGCGAAGACACTTATACACCACCAACTATGGATCCTGTGAGTTACCACGAAAGTGCTCACTGTCTACGCTTCTCCAATGTTTGGTTTACCGTACATCGTTTGGACAATCCCAGCTTCAATTTGCGATATACAATTAAAATCTATAAGCGGGAATCTGTTGGAAAATGGATGATGATTGCTCCGGCGATGGAATTAAACAGCGAAGATACATACTATGAAGATATTGGGGAGACACCGATTACTATCTCCATTCGTGCTAATAATCCACCTCAAGCATCGCATCCTCTTGAAGCACAACGTATCCTCGTACCTACGGAAACCAAGTCGAATATCCTTCACAGATTTCCAGAGACAAGAAATGGACCGAAAGAATATTTAGTAGTCCCACCGAATATGATTGCAATTGATGGGAGTCAGTGCGATAAGATCGGCGTTAGTTACAAAGCTTTTACCACGCAGAGAAGGAAATGCTTCAAGCCGAGAGGTACATGTCTGTCAAATCAACCGAAACACTTATGGCACGAGGACACGAATCGAGAAAGTAAAAATATTAAAGGAAAATATTTTTTAAAGTACCATGTGGATTTCAAAGAGAATCAACTTAAAAGAAATCACCTGACAAAACGATTAGAACTACATGTTAAATACAACGGTGAACACTGTATGAACTTTAATATAATGTTAAGTGCAGTTTTCCCCAGAGATGTGTGCAAAGGTCGGCACTAGATACCATAAGATAAACTTATACATTTTTGTTATACTTAGGTAAAATAAATTTCAAAAACATACTTGGGTTTAACAACTTCGTCCCATGGTAAAATCACTTCAGATGGTTGTAGTACAATACGGGGATATATCATGATTTCTCCATTCGCGGGGATTGGAGGCTTAACTTTAATAGTTCCGGTAAATGGGTTCGTTGCGCTTTCTAAAATAGCTTGAACTTTAGCAGTTCCTTCAAGTTGCGTCCACCCATTAACTACAGATCCATTCATGGATCGTTGTTTGACCTTGAAAGCATCCTCTACTTGCATCTGAATTTTCACATGTGGTCCAAGAATCAATTTATGGTCACCCCTTAAAAATATAATCATTAGATACAAATTATTATAAGAATATTAATTATTTACTCTGAGAATACTTCAGCAATTATGTCATGTGGTTCTGAAACCAAAGCAGCCCAGTTTCTATATGGAAGAAGGTTTAACATCATGTATGCAGGTTGAACCACATTTAAAATAGCAAATGGTAACCTGAGGCCAGGTTCATTCACATCTATATTTTTATCATGTAGTAAAACTTTGGTACGTCCAACTTGCAATGAATTGACTGTACCTAAACACACGAATATTTAGAAAACATTTAAATTGAGTTCTTTTATTTGTACTACCTTCATATTTATTGTTCCTTGCTACTTGCTTATCTTCTACATCCAAGAAATACTGAGATGATCTTAAATTAATCGTTTCGCTTTTTCCATAGCTCGTCTAAAAGGTAACGTTTAAAACATGAGTTACCAATATATCTCTGCAACTATACCTGAATAATTTGAAATTCTGCCGAATCGCCAACCATAATATAAACTTCTTGCGGCAAAATCATTAAATTTGCAATAACTGTTAATTGAAGTTCATTACTTTTTGCATTTGCATAATCTTTTTGAGGTAATTTTACAGATACCTAAAACATTTCATTTACTTTAAGAAAACTTAACCAGTTTGTGTTCTATATACCTTCGATATTCCAGTTTTAATACCCTCAAGTAATACTTTATGGCCTCTCTTGTTACGATTTTCTATGTCATTTAACGTACTTGGCGTTTCATATGGCGAATCCTTAAACGTAATAAATCTTAGTACTGGAACGTTTTTATTAGGTCCAGATGGTTTTATCATCCACTCAAATTCAATTCCTTCAAGTGTAGAAAACTCATTCCCTATAATTAAATGCAAATGTAAGTTAAAATACTACATACAAATTAATTAATAATTAATAGCATCACCTTGATTGTCATAAGCTCTAACTTCAAAAACTTCTGGAGCCTCCTCCAACATCAATTCCTTTGTGGTACTTGCAATACCTAATGACTCAATTACATCAGTAATAACTACACAACGTAATTGTTGCTTTGTGTTTATATCCTCAGCAAATACATCTGATGTTATTCTTCTCCTCTCTTTGGTAACTGTGGAGACAACAACTTGTGTTGTACATTCCAATCCAGAATTTAAATCCACAGGATTTAATTCTATAATATCTTCCCTTGTTGTACTCCTTAAAAGAAAAACTCTGAATTAGATTCCAATTAGAATATTGACATTCATTTGTGCAAGTACTTTAAGTATTATAAGAAAGTTATGAATAAAACATTTATGTTTATGAATTAAAATGTATATGATAGTCATTGTAAGAACCCAGGATTGAATCTATTTTGCATGTATAATAGAAATGGCACAAATAATTTGAAAAATTAAAGTTTCTTTACCATTTGTAGCAACTATCATTGGTGGCTTGGATTGTGAAATTTGTGGGGAAATCGTCGAAAATGGGCAACAGTATAATGGCTACATTTAACTTCGAACTTTGGGTATTCGAAATTACTATCATAAATAAAATAATTTTCAATAATGTCACAATTTTGGTCGCCATAATTTTGAAATGAACACACTCATATCACGCGAATCACAACATTTGTACCACTTGTGCTTTTAGGTTATGTTTGGTTATGTTTATAGTAAATCCTTTAGGAACATCGAGTTGGCCTCAGAATTACCAACTGCTATTTAAATCTTATAATTTTCAGCGGGTTCATGAAATGTTCATTATTTTTAAAGCAATTGTAGAAATATGTTTAATTTACTATTGGAGATTCATATAAGATAAAGATTTTATTTGGTGGTAACTTGAAGAGTGTTTTACTTTTGCGTTTTAATGAAAAACGTTTGTCATTTGAATAGATTTTAATAAAGAGTTGGCTGTTAAGAAAATGTGGTTTTGAAAAAACAAAAGTTGTTTAGTTCACCACATAACATTTACCACATTTTTTTGGTACTTGTTTATTAAAATTATAATATAAAGTATAAAAAATGAGAGAAATCGTACACATTCAAGCAGGACAATGTGGTAACCAAATTGGAGCCAAGGTGCGTACGAAATTCAGATGCGTATGCGTTCTCTAACGCGCGCAATATGTCACATTTTTTTAGATAATTTTAATTATGTGTTTGTAATTTTAGTTTTGGGAAGTAATATCAGATGAACATGGAATAGATCCAACCGGTACATACCACGGCGATTCCGATCTGCAATTGGAACGCATAAATGTTTACTATAATGAAGCGACAGGCGGAAAGTATGTTCCTCGAGCCGTGCTGGTGGACCTGGAGCCCGGCACAATGGACTCTGTACGCTCCGGTCCATTTGGCCAAATCTTCCGGCCGGACAATTTCGTGTTTGGACAGAGCGGAGCTGGTAACAACTGGGCGAAGGGTCACTACACGGAAGGTGCAGAACTGGTCGATTCCGTTTTGGACGTGGTGCGCAAGGAAGCCGAAGGATGCGACTGCATGCAAGGATTTCAATTGACCCACTCGCTGGGAGGTGGCACCGGGTCCGGTTTAGGTACGCTCTTGATCTCCAAGATCCGCGAAGAATATCCAGATAGGATTATGAATACGTTCTCTGTCGTTCCATCCCCGAAAGTCTCTGATACTGTCGTTGAGCCATACAATGCCACTTTGTCCGTCCATCAGCTGGTTGAAAACACTGATGAGACCTATTGCATTGATAACGAGGCTCTCTACGACATTTGCTTCAGAACTTTGAAGCTCACAACACCAACTTACGGCGATCTTAATCATTTAGTCTCGGCCACCATGTCCGGTGTCACTACTTGCTTAAGATTTCCCGGTCAGCTGAATTCTGACCTAAGAAAACTTGCTGTGAACATGGTGCCATTTCCGCGGCTGCATTTCTTTATGCCCGGATTTGCTCCCCTAACTTCCAGGGGAAGCCAACAATATAGGGCATTGACGGTGCCCGAGTTGGTTCTACAAATGTTCGATGCCAAGAATATGATGGCCGCATGCGATCCGAGGCACGGTCGATACCTCACAGTTGCAGCAATCTTCAGAGGGAGAATGTCTATGAAGGAAGTCGACGAGCAGATGCTTAACATCCAGAACAAGAACAGCAGTTACTTCGTTGAGTGGATTCCGAATAACGTGAAGACTGCGGTCTGCGATATTCCCCCTCGCGGTTTGAAAATGTCTTCGACATTTATTGGCAATTCGACGTGCATTCAGGAATTGTTCAAGCGCATTTCAGAACAGTTCACAGCCATGTTCAGACGCAAAGCGTTTCTTCATTGGTACACCGGTGAGGGCATGGACGAGATGGAATTCACTGAAGCCGAATCGAACATGAACGACTTGGTATCGGAGTACCAGCAATACCAAGATGCCACTGCAGAAGAAGAAGGTGAATTTGATGAAGAAGAGGAAGGCGATAACGAAGGAGATAATTGATTGTTATATGTATATCTATATATTTATTTCATTTTTTTATAACGACTTTGTCTGAAATTTTAATGTGCTCCCATCGCTTGTTCTTCAAAAGAAGCTAACCTGATTTGAAATTTGTCCTCTCTGTTTTTTATATTTTGGTGATTAATAAAGATTGGTTTATATTTTAATATTAATCATAGTTTATACTATAACACATTAATTTATTTGTTTATCAATTATAATTTGCCCTAATCTTGGCTAACGACTAGCGTAAAAAAAAAATGAAAAATTTCCGGTCCGCAGTAAGTTTTGGGTTGAAAAACACTGATTTAAACTGCTACAATATAATCTGAAATAAACAAAACGTAAGAGATAAAGTGAATTTTATTAAAAATTTGTGGCAAGCAATATAATAATAATAATAAAAATAACATTATTTACATGATAGTACTGTTTCTAAGATGTTTTAGTTAAAGAAAATGTTTTGCCAAAGACATATTTTTTTTTATTATTACGGCCCTCATCAAACGACGAGGAATTCCACAATACAATGCACGAATTTTTCATTTATTTGGTCTTAGTTTTGAACCTTCGTATAGAATTTTTGTGATACAGGCGACCGTACACAATAAATTATGTACAATGCATTCAAGACATTTTCTCACTAAATCACAACACTAAAAATCAAAACGAATTTGTATAATAAAATGAAATTAATTCTCAACAATTTATTGTTTTGGAAAATAATGAATTTGTAAATTGAATTATGTTATATATTTGTATCTTAACTATACATACAGTAAAATATAATTATACCATCAAATCCATTAAAAGTTAAATACATCTTATTTTAAGATCCTGCATAAAGGGACACATAAAGATTCTGAGATACTTTTTATTTGTTAAAATCATATTAGGTAAATCATAAACCATCCACTGTTACATGAGTAACAGTAAGAAAAGCTGTTGATTCTGGATGTAGCTATCACAATGTAGAAGCACATATTCTAAATCGTTACTAACTTTTCAAAATTCTGAAAATCAAAATTTTTTGTTAAATTTAGATTAGAAATTGTTATTTGATATTGTTAGGATATTGACTAGATTGAACGTAGAATGATATAGAACGTAAAGATTAAAAATGAATGAATTACATTATTTTAATATTAGCGAATTTGCTCTAATGTTTTATAAATTCTGGCAAGATAACCTCGTGCTCTTTTAATTAATTACTTCTTTGACGTGGGGTAGTTAGGTATATAGTTTAACTAGCTATATGAACGATGAATACATTCTTATATAATTATATAGGAGTCACTTCACTACACCAATTTTAAATCACCACATCTAAATAAATAAATAAATACGTTTTGTACAATTAAATTAGGTTTGCGCCGGTTTGTATCTATGCAATTTCAGTGTTACTTTGCCGGTGGCGGTTTTCAAGACGGCGCCGGCTTCATCTCCGGGGCACTCATCTATATTTTGTCCGTTCACTGAAACTAACAAATCACCTTTCATTATTTTACCATCAACGTCCGCACATCCACCGTTCAACTGAAACAAATACAAAAGATAATTTTCATCATTACGATAGGGTTACTGTCTTTGCTTACGATTTCTTTTACATAGACTCCTTTGCCGGTTTTCCTGACAGCGACGCTTAGACCGAGTCCCTTACCAGGCTTCTTCACTAATTCAGTATCTATCGTTTGAAATTCCAACTTTTCTGGTCTGTAAATCAGCAATTTCATCTGCAAAACAAAAACGCAGTATATATCAATCAAATTCTCGTGACATTATTGCATCGTAATACTTTTGGCAGTGTCTGTTTTAGTGATTGTGACGCAGAACTATGCGTAACATCCTTTAAGGGTGTAGAGTTTACGTCCATAATCTGATCTCCAGATTGAAGTCTACCATCTTTTTCGGCTGTACTTCCTTTATATATTTCCGATATGACTATACCATTCTAAAATACAAAACGAAAAATCAGTTAATAATAAATTATGCTGTTTTCATAAATAAGACTGCGATCCTTCAGATGTATACAGAAATACCTCGGTTTTGTTCAGTCCAAATTCACTAATCCGGTTTGAAAATGTTTAAATAAACTTAATTCTAATTAAGATTGGTTTCCCAGTCAAGTCTCTTTTTGTTCGCGATAATTCTTTTTTTTTGTATCCTCGATTTGTCCTGTTTCAAACAGTCCGGGATATTGTTTATAGACAAAACTGTGCACACTCAATTTCCTATTAATTAATTTCGAAAACAATAAACGGAAATTAATTTGAAATTGAAAAAATATTGAAATATAATTTGTTAAAAAACAAAAAATTAAAAGAGAATGCGCGATGTGCTGCGATCGTGTATTTTTGTGTAAAATATACCGGTTATGATAAAATAATTGCTACATAATCGATGCCACTTGAGTTGTTTTACTTTTATTCCATACCTTGTGCATGCAGTACTCAATAATTAAAATTAGTTTGAATGAAAAATTGGATGGAATTGAGAATGTAATATAATTTGAAAAATAGTTGGATTTTAGTAATTAGTACCTGTATGGAAGTATCTTTTCCACCGACGAAGCAAATGCCTAGTGTTTTATTATCGGTGTTGATTTCGATTGTGGTTTCCCGGCCCGGGGTTATGGGACAAGTAGCTGGGTCAGTCGGTGGCTCTGCGAACATAAAATCACCATTAAAACGAGCGCTGTTTCCCGAACGTATAGCCTTCCTTAATCCAATTATCGATTCGAAAAAATAGTTGAAATTAAGAAGTATAGTGCTTCTTCCTCTGTTTTCAATCGACTTTCTATTATATTTGAAACTTTGGGACTTTCCATCATCGATGTTTTACCTGGTATCGGCGTTGAAGGCCTGGGTGAGGCAGTTCCGGGCTTGAGGTTTTGTGAAGAAGCATTCTTTTCGAGCTCGGCCGAAGAAGGGCTTGTGGTTTGAGCCGTTGTCGCTCCAGAGGTCGTAGCGGGAGGCGGCTTCTTTCCCGGATTGGAGACCACAAGCGTTACTAAACCTTCCGTTCGTTTCAACAGATTGGCGGCCTGGAATTATCGTTAGGTTGTGAAAATATAATTCATTGTTATTTAACAGTGTCTCTCGTGAACAAACACCAAAAATATAAATATATACACCTCAATACAAATATTTATATATATATATGTACAGAGAGGAAGAGAATAATGCATCGAGAAAGTACCTGTATAATTAGAAAATGCTTTGATATACTCCAACGTGGGCCCATTATCGAAACCTTATACTTTTATCGCAGAACACCCGACGGACGATGATAAAATGTAAAACTCGTGGGAAACACAGTACACCTCCGTTTTCTATTCAATAGCGATGTAAACAAGTCAATGTATGAATTTTACTTCTCTGTTAGCGAACGTGTTAAGTGTTTGGTGTGTGTGTGAGTAATAACGAGTGAACAACAAACAGGCAGTCACAATCCACAGTGGTAGTATGTCCGTTCATTGGCGGTTTAAATGCAATTAGTCCAATAACGATAATCCAGTAAAACAATAATAATAATAACAATACAAATAAAACTTAATAATTGAAATAAAATTAAACAGAACAAAAAAAAAAAACGAAACAAACATCAAAACAGCGATACTTACAGTATCGTAGTTGGAGCCTAGGAGGGAATCTTTGTTAACTGCCAGTATCATTTCACCGATCTCTAGTCCAGCCTTGTAAATCAAAGAAAAGAACACACAGCTTAAAAAACAGTCATACGAAAGCTGGAAGCGTTTCAATTTAATTCTTTCTCTCTTGGATCGCCTGCCGAAGAGTATACAAAACGATAGACAGACAGAGAAGTGGAAGAAAATAGAACTTAAAAGAAACGAATAATTGTAGGAACTTAGTAGTGGTGGTGGTTGAGGAGAAGGTTTGAAAAGTGACTACTACATTTATAGGGATTACCTTTTCCGCAGAGCTGCCTTCCTGTATATCCGATATGAAAATTCCTTGACCAACTTCCGCATGCTTTCCCTCAATTATCATTATTCCTAAACTCTGGTTTCCCTGCAGATACACATAACACAGTCAACAAACATAGCACATTTAACAAGATAACTAATATAAAACATCGAGAGGACGGAAGGGGACGAAATTAAATGAAATAACAACAACAAGATACTAATTCTTAATAGAACATGTGAAAACAGGAAGTAATTCTATGTGTTAGAAACTTAAATTTTGTGTTTCACATGAATTCGGTTTGGATTAAACCGGCGATGCGTTAATTTCGTTCATATCTAAACTATTACCCACACATGATGATGCTGATGATCTTAGCTTCTAGCTAGAAACGTCGGTGGTATTGAATTGAATTCGCTGTTTGCGGTGCGTTTAATTGAGCAACCTGCTTACAGCGTTAGACATTCTATATTAATATACTCTCCAAGTAACGGCAACCATGCGCTAGTAGTTTCAATATTAAACGCAGAGCAAATATTGCTCTTAAATCCGTAGATTAGATAATGCGGATAAATTCCGGCCAGTTAAATATCGGCCGTCCAATATTGAAATAAAGCTGCAGCTTAATCTGCACAAGCTTTTCATGTCGCTCGGATTACGAGGAAACAGCACATTGTCAAGTAAAAAATCAATGTGAACGTATTATGATTTTGTAACAGCAATAACAAAAACGATAATATAATTATTATGAAGTATGTAATCAAAAAAATTATTACTTTCAGAAATACTGTTTGTGCCAAGTAATAAATTCCAACACAATTGTTTGCAACAATTGTTTACATTTAATACTCTTATATATTTATAAAAAATATTTTCGAAGCAACAAAACATATATTTTAATTAATTATTATACATACAAAAAAAAAACAATTAAAAATCAGATAAAATAGAATAAATGTAATATGCTCGGTTCATACAGAAACGTAATTCATATATGATTGCTGTTTTAAAATTGACGTTATAGTCTATTAATTTGATGCACGTGAATATATCTTACTGTGAATTGTAATATTTACATTTGCTTTTAGTTAGATCCCACTAATTTGCTTTTAATATTTACATTTTCTTGAAATGTTTGAGACATATTTGGTTTCGCAAATAAAGCACGATCTTTTTAGATTGCATTTAATTCTGCTCTTTGTAGGAGAAAAAATAGAAATTAGTATAATTAATTCGCTATTGCAGCAAAATATTGTATTTTATTAATGTAATCAAATTATTTTCAGTATCTAAAAACTTAATAACTTCTATTTAAAGGCATTATTTTCACAGATTTTTTTAATATCAAAATTTTATGGACTAATTCGTACATAAATAGATTTTATAATCGTTTTTGTATTATTTAATTGTTAAATTTATGGTTGTTCTTGTTACATTAAAAATGATATTTGCGTTTGGAGATACAAGTATTAATAGAAAACTAGTAATCATTCGAGTGGAGTGTTCTGAAATTGCGATTCTTAATAAATTTAAGTATGACCGCGTGGAGCAAATATTTAAGATTCTTTCGCCGAGTATATTTATTGTAAGCAGATCTAACTTTAGAACTATTACTAAATCGTTTACGTTGCGTACGTATTTAAAAACGATTTTAGTGGGCACTAAAAAATAATGAGCACCATCACGTTTCATAGGAAGGGTATAACATTTTAAAATAGGAACATATGTCGAAGATATGGAACGAAATTAACTCACGGTTCGAGGGCTAACAGAAAAAAAACATTTACACAATTGGATACTTGCAAAAAGGAAACAAGGAAGCAACAAAAACCAATGTGTATTTCTATGTGTGTCTGTAGTGTATAAAATAACAGCCGGTGGTGGTCAAAAGTGGCTGTAAGATTCAAGAAATTGCAACCACTTTCGACACGTGTATAATACAAATAGAAATTTCGTTGTCGTGAATGTAAAAGCATACCTTCTTAATAGATATCGTTCTGACATTTGGATAGTTACTAAACGATTCCTCGGAAGCCTGCAGAAAGAACAAAAATTGTGGACTCAAACAACACATACCATCCGCATGCTTTCCGCATTTCTCTCCCAAAAGTATCTCGATTAATTCGGTTTAAGAGAAGATTTCATCAATCTGTTTTTGATGACGCACTTAGTACCGGTTTCTAGTTTTTTTTTATTCTCTCTCTTTTCTATCTGGGTTTCGTAGTTGCCTGCGATTAACGTTAAGATTCCAAGACATTGAACGCCCCCCAACAAAAAAAAAACAGCCACTCCAAAAGAATGTATTGCTTAGGTAATGTAGCAGAAAGCGGATTAAAAGAGAAGCGTTATGCACGGAGATCCCGTTTTGCCCTTTTTTCCAGTTCCCTCGGTGCAGGCAACAAAGAAAACTCGAAAATAGAAATACCACTTCTGTAATGAAGAAGAAGAAGAAGCGTCCCGAGGATGGAAAAAAGCGCTTAACGTAATAATACGACGTTTGGTGGGAGCGCTCATGTTTCGTTTTGCATCGGCTTCCCAAAACTCATCTTCGAAAAACGAAGCAGAGAACGGAACATTGCCTTGCAAATACATCGTTTCTTCTTGTATCTATCGCTTGATGATGGTGGAATGAGCTATCAGTTCAGACTTAAGTATGGTTCCTTTCGATGCTCTTAAAATTATTGATGCGTCGTACCATATTTTAGTTGGTTAAGATGAATGCTGAATTATTGAACTAAAGTCTGAACAACGATCTGGATGCCTTCGTTACTGCGATGATTTATGAGATCCAGAAGGAACTGAAATGCTGTACCCTGCATACCAATAAAAAGCCGATTCGAAACGATGCGGAACGCGTTGATTACGTATATATGAAAAGTAAAAAAAAAATGTACGTCAAAGCGTGCTGATGCGTGTGATGCAAACAAGATAAATTCGGCACAAAATCCAGAGATAGTTAGAGCGTTGAAGAGATGCGTCTCAGGCTTTGACTACTTACCTCTTCGGCGAGCGAAACGGGAAATTGCGTTATGGGTCGTACGGCGATGTCATCAATGGCTGCCTTTCGTCTAAAAATAAAGCACATTTTCATGTAATTATTTACACAATTATATATACACACACACTCACATACATTCACATGCGTTCAAATATATGTACATATATATATGTATGTATAGATATACCTTCGGCTTAGCGAAAAGTAATCACAAATTACAATTGATCTAAGAAAAGACATGCTGCATACATTAACCACTTTTGCATTGAGCATGCTTGGTAAATAAGTAAGTGGCTCGTAAGTACGTAGCATGTGATAAGGAAATGATTAAGAAAGACGAAAAGAAAACGTTCGCACTGGACAAACAGGCAAGCATTTTGAAATACGGCAACGTTTAGCTACGAATAGTGAGTAAAATGAGTCCTCAACTGCTTCAAAACAATTAGCAAATGCTGGAAAATATAGACTTCAAGCGTGGATTTGCATAACGAAAGTCTCTATGGACATTTTCATCGCGTTTCCACCATCGTTCAAATATGTATTTTCAAGCAGGCTTGCAGAAGTGATATACAGTCTACTTGGTTGCATAACTCGTTAATCGTGCGCTCGACATCATTTTCTAGAATTACATAATATGAATTTATTATTTCATTTTGATACTTTACAAGTTATTTTAATGATATAAAATAGTCGCATTTATATTTTATAATCTACTAGAACATATTATACGTATTAATTTGAAAATTCCAAACAACAAACTAAAACTAGTTTAAAACCGTGAGTTGTTGTTTTAGAACATAATTGGTTATATACATTATATAGATTCTATATCAATTATAATTACATAATTTTATATAATCAATGAAAAATCGAGACATGTATTGGATTCTTCGTTTCAATAGATTTTCTTCTTTACTCAATGTAATAATACATTTGAGGGACATCTAACAAAAACTATTGACACTTTCCGAAAAATTGGTGCGTCTGGTCTATAATTCTCAATCAAATGGATAAAATGTGACAAATCAGACTTTTTTAATATCAGTATTTTGTAGGTCTTCAAATTTCATTTTGTTAAACTTTATACAGGTTACTTAGGGTTTGAAGCTTTTCAAAGAAATTGAGTCATAAAAAAAGTATGTTACAAATTGTATGAAAGAATTATCTTTTACATGTCAGCTTTTACTTGAAAGTATTCGCATCATAACTAAATACATTGAAAATACTTTTTCTTCCAATAAAATTAATATTGATTGAAGATTTGTTACATTATTTTTTTGCGGTTAACGTATTGATTATAAGTGTTTTAACTAATATTTAAACACTATAAACAAAACTTATATGGACTTTGGATTGCATAAACGTCGCTGATGACGATATGCAAACAGAGAAGTGATTCGGTTTGGCAGAATAATCAATTTTGATTTATTATAAAATTACGGGATTGTGCGCGGAACTGCCTCTTATCAATCAGAGAGAGAAAGACCGCATGTTTGACTTTCAGAAATAAAGTCATTAATCATAATTTCTCAAATCATTAATTGCGATTTACTTGTTTAATTAGATCTGATTTGATTTAATTCGTTTTAAATTGCCTTCAATTAGAAACGCAGTCGCTTGTTAAACGTGTGTTGCTGCACAGCTGGTCAATCGCTTCAATATATCAGCATCATAAATATTAAATGATAAATTATAATGCTTTAAAATAAAATTTGCTATCCTCGTACTAATTCAAATGGTTATAATCAACGTTCCAATTATATAAAACCATTTTTTTCATTTAACTTTTATTACTTTCTATAGGGAAACAAAAACATTTTCAAGTTTCAACATTATAAAGTGTAATAGAAGCAAATGCAAATGAAAAAAAAATAATTGCAAACATTTTGCATCTGCTTTTTTATACTATATGCCCCCATTTAATTGAGTTTCAAACTAAACTAAACTTTAAACTCGACCACAAACAAACGAATGTAAAATAAATTTTCTTTGTTTCACCATTCCTAGCGCTGAATGGAATTTGCTTTAGTTGTTTGCCAAGCATAAATTTAACTCAAAATTTTAATTAAAAACTTCGTAAATGTTAAATTGAATAGCTGTTATGATGTACATTTAAAAAATATAAGTAAACACGTAATATTTTCAATTTTTTATCACATTGAATCCTGAATTCGGATCAATTCATAAACATCAAACATATTATTCAGTGGTAAGATTAAACAAAAAATAATCAGGCTTGATTTTATTACGTTCGGACGCTGCATTAATTCCGCTGAATCTGAAATTTACGAAAGTTTTTATGTACCTAGTGAAAAAAAAAAGAAAGAAACAGCATAAGTCCACGAGTTGTTGGGGGAATAAAGTTTCAAGTCCTCCCATCTGAAGGTATTAAAGAGTTTTAGTATCTTCTTATTGCAAACTCATATATATCCTGCTTATAAAGTAACGAAACTAATTTGAATTATAAATTATTTCATCGAAAAATAAAAATTCATTATTTCCTGTTTTTAATTTTTGTCGACAAAAATATAGAAAATAAAATCCATTTGAAATATTTAAGTTATTGTAAGAAATAAGTAATTCCCACGTCATTATAATCACTTCCGATATATTATTTATTTAATTGGGTCATCTAAAGAAGTGTTTTATCATCTTTTTTCTTCTTAGTTCAAGAGTCTTGCGTTTCACATTTTCTTAGATTACTCAATTACTTATTGATTAAAAGTAATAAAAACCCGCACTATACCTCTAAAACCATCAGATTTATAATAATTTGATTATAAACTTAAATGTAACATGAAAAGTGGTAAAAAAGTTTCCACCATTATTCAAATATGTATTTTCAAGCAGGCTTAGAGAACTGATATACACTTCCGATATATTATTTATCTAATTGTGTCATCTAAAGAAGTGTTTTATCATCTTTTTTCTTCTTAGTTCAAGAGTCTTTCGTTTCACATTTTCTTAGATTACTCAATTACTTATTGATTAAAAGTAATAAAAAACCGCACTATACCTCTAAAAACCATCAGATTTATAATAATTTGATTATAAACATAAATGTAACATGAAAAGTGGTAAAAAAGTTTCCACCATTGTTCAAATATGTATTTTCAAGCAGGCTTGGAGAAGTGATATACACTTCAGATATATTATTTATCTAATTGTGTCATCTAAAGAAGAGTTTTATCATCTTTTTTCTTCTTAGTTCAAGAGTCTTGCGTTTCACATTTTCTTAGATTACTCAATTACTTATTGATTAAAAGTAATAAAAACCGCACTATACCTCTAAAAACCATCAGATTTATAATAATTTGATTATAAACTTAAATGGAACATGAAAAGTGGTAAAATAGTTTCCACCATTGTTCAAATATGTATTTTCAAGCAGGCTTGGAGAAGTGATATACACTTCAGATATATTATTTATCTAATTGTGTCATCTAAAGAAGTGTTTTATCATCTTTTTTCTTCTTAGTTCAAGAGTCTTGCGTTTCACATTTTCTTAGATTACTCAATTACTTATTGATTAAAAGTAATAAAAAAAATTGCACTATACCTCTAAAACCATCAGATTAACTTAACTTAAATGTAATATGAAAAGTGGTAAAAAAGTTTACTTACAAAAAAAAACTATTCATAATATTTTATTAAGGAACGTATCATGTTGGATGAATTGATTTTTCTAGCTAAAGAAGTCTGGATGTATAGTGTCATAACAAACAAATAATGGTACTGTTTTTATAAATATAAATAAATCACATTATATAATCCGCTGATCGTTTTATCTTCAATATATTAATATAGTCAAAACAGCTTGCTCGCAATGATTATGCGAAGGCTATAGCTATAATTCATGCATATTATCATATGCTTCACTGAATATATGTACATTATTTGACGGTCTGTGCATTTTCATTAAAGTTGGTAACAACCGAAAGGCTAATTAGTTTTAATAAGTTGAAACAAACATGAAACGCATTTACATTGATATCATTAATACATATTTGAATTGATCCCCTAATATATTTTAATAAAGAAGAATTTGTATGTTCTGAAAATAGTTTCCTAATTATATATAATTAAAATGATAATTGCGGCAAGAAAGACGTATTTATTTTTTTATAGACTGCAGAAAACAATGGTAAGTTGTCATGGCCGGTAAGAAAAATGCTGTTGATGTAAGGATTACATTTCCAGTTTGTAATTATTTTCCTTATAGGGAATCATTGAAGAATTCAAGAATTTCAAATAGCCTTGTAAAACGTGATTTGTTGTTGTTTACAGATTGATCATTTCTATGCGATTTTTGTTTGTGTCTATACATTTCTTAGGTACGATTATAATGTTACAAAAAATAAACATACTAGTATAATCTTGAAGTTATTTATTGAGTCTGTTGACGTATTATATATTAGAAATTGGATTACTTATTAGGATGATGGATATGAGATAGAGATCTTAATGATGTAGAATAGATTACCTTAGTATAATAACTTTAAATATTGGTCCAGATAATCCTTTGATGATGGCCGACGCATTAAGATGACACCTCCCGTGAAGCACAACGCCGTTCACCTGCAAACACGTAAACAGGAAAAAAAGGGATCTGATTAAACGGGTCTCGCTGTGAAGGATACTGTGCAAATGAGAATTACCATAACAAACGCAGCCAACAAAGAGGCAACCCAACCGGCGACCGGAAGAGGCAGTTTTATATAACTTAAATATAAGTAAGTCAAGAAGCAGCGAGCGGTTCGTGCCTTCTGCTTCGCAAAAATTATATTGTCGTCGTGCAATCAACTCATTTGTCTCAATTGTACATTATTTAAACTTCCATCGCGGATGGAACTTGTCTTTACGCAATTAGTGACTCAAAAAAAAAGTGTCGATTTCGATTAGAACAACTATCGCCAATTTGGAGGTCACCGAAGTTTTTGAAAACGTAATTTATTTGCTTTGATCTTTGATCCATGATTAACTAAAAGACGCGTTTAAATTCCATTCAATTACGTTTTATTATTGACTTATAAGCAACTTTTTAATAGAAAAATAAGTGTTATTACAGGTGATTTTCAATTCCTTGTATAAGATAAGATTAAATTAAAAAAAAAAACATTGGTTTTGTGTAAAATCACTATCAGTCTCTTTATTAAGAAAATATGATCGAATTGCTTTGCTCGTCGTATTTTGATTTGTTTCGCGTGTTTCTTGGAATATTTTATATTACTTTGCAGGAAAAACAAATATTTTGAAGGATATTTCGCTAAGAAGCAGAAATAATATAGAGTGCGCGTCGGAAATGACAAATTAAATTGACGTTTTTGCTCATGTTTTGTACACTCGTTTTATGCAATATTCTCTATGTGTTCAAGCATCTGAACAGGATTTCTATTCACGTATATTGAAAACATTTTCTGGAAGTGCGGAGATGAGAATTACTCGTCGGGATTATTTTGTGATTTTGCCGCGGGTCACATTATAGGATTAAATTTCCCTCCGGAAATCTCTTTAGATAGGCGCACGAAGGGCTAAAACGTCATATCAATATCCATCACGGGCTTATTTCATCCCTGTTATTCCGAAATGGTTTAGTAATTTAATATTGAATTAGACAGGCCAGAAATGTTCACTGAACATTAAACATTTTGAAAACGTTTTTAATAAGAAGACAAATAAGTTAAATTTGTAACAATGCGAGTTGAATTTTATTGAATATAAAAATATTTTCGAAATAATAAACATTTTTATAATAATTTCAGACAAATAGGGTAAAAAACAGAGAAATAATATTATTATCGTGGTTTACTGTTCTCTCGTTCTTTGTTAATGTACGTAATGCGCAAAAGAAGATGAAAATAATGTCGTATCTAGTATATTTGTATCGTTGCAGTTTTTGCTTGAATTGTGATATTGAATATTGTGAAAGTAATGTTAACATTGCAATTTGAAATAATTTGCGGAGGTAATACGCAATTTGTATAAAAGGGAACAGTTTGTGTCCTGAATAGAAGATAATTGATTAGATAATTTAGGTTGCGTGATACGTTCCCGAAAGCCATAAACCTCCACGCCAAACTACAAACATAAAATAGAGGTAAATGCACTCTCTCTCTTCTCTCCGACCGAAGTAATTCTAAACAGATTAAACGATGTGTCGTTAAACAAACACTGTACGTGCGAGTTGGGTCCTTTGTCTGCCCATCATCAATCGATAAACACGCCTAAAATTGCTCGATCTACATTACCCAAGGCATCCCGTGATCATCCTCATCCTACTCTTAAGATATTTAGCTAAATTACCTCTAGTATCTCATCACCGACTTGTATGCCTCCGGTGCGATACGCCGCTCCCATCGGATTAATTCCGCAAACGAAGACGGCCATGCAGTTGCGGTCCTTGTGGCCGGCCAAACTTAGGCCCAGGCCCTGACCGACGCTCCTCTCCAACTGAACCATTAGGATCGAATGTCCCAAATTCGAATACTTTTTCTTCACTTTATCTGTAAAAGAAAATAAAAAAAAAAACATATTAATTACAATGTATATATTACAGTTAAAATAACTGATCAGTTAAATAAGAAGGAAACGAGTGGTAAAATAACGGATTTTTAATCAAGATGCAATTCAAATGGCTGTAAAAAAATAATTTTAAATTCCATAATAGTTCTTGCTGTAAAAATAAATAAATAACTTGATAAATGGACAATTTTTATTATGCAATTTCGACAGAACACTTTACATTTGATTATTTGGCAGCTGTTCAAGTTATTGAAGTGCTTCTAGAGAACGAAATACGTAAAATAGATCATGAATTAGGAAATAGTAGTGTACACAGATTCACGGGCTTCGTTTATTTGCCAAATCACATTTCAAGCGTTCACAGTTTAACGCATCAGAATAAAGATCTTCATCACTATTGTAAATATACAGATGTAAATTGGCATATTTTTTGTGTAAGTTTTTTTTTATAATAAAATCATATGCTATAATTGCTCTCAATTTATAATATATTAAATAATTGGTCATATAAATCAATTAAAATAATAACTTCAAGTCAATATCATTGACCTTTTTGGGTTTCATATGTAATTTACAACAGTTTATGTTTTGTTGTCTTTTTTGGCCAATAAATTATTATTATAACTTTTACACTTTGGACAGTGTTCAATGATTTTTAATAGTTAAATCCTCCATACATGCAGATTTTGCATTTTATGTATTAGTAAAAAAAAATATTAATATTTTTCAGTAATTTATTCTATTTACTTCAAAGTTGGCAAACGCCAGCCAGCAATGGGTTAATAAACTTATACTATCCAGAAATATAGATATATATTCTCTTCTATTCTCGATCTCAAAACACGTTTTCCTTTTCATCGCCTGTGAATTATCATGAAAGTTCTTTCGTGCATTAATTTTCATTCTTAACTAACTTTTAGAAGCCATCCAAGCAAAAATCGTACCATTCACGACTCGCACATAAAACACAATTCAATCCGACGCATTCTTCATAAAATTTCATCTACGCGACTATTTTGCCTTACATTTTCTTTTTTCTTATCATAAAATGGGAACTTATTCACACGTGCAGCAATCTTTCATCCCGATTTTTATATAGAACGTAACACATGTCGCATAAAATATATCATATATCATGGGTAAAACATTTATTTTGACAGATTATTAAGTAAAATGAGTAGAACAGATAACGTAAAACTATTAGTGTAATTTATAATATGTAAGTTCAGTTTCAATCGATAAAAAGTTTTAACCTGTAGGTGGTAACCTGATATTTGTTTTCATTCACATTATTTTGTAATTTAATTGTACGAGTTGACTTTCTAGTTAATCTAATACTTTTTAGTGCACTTTTAAGTAGGAGAAAAACAGTCGCGGTGAGAGGTGCTTATTTTAATATATAGTGTATTTCGGGTCAAAGTGACCCCATAACTTTAGTTTCCCATGCACCAAAACGAGGAAAGTCAGTAATGAATCTGTTGTGTCCAACCATGTTATTATTAATATAGTGTAGTAACGAACTAGAGACATCAACGGCATCTGTTAGACGCATTATTATATAAACATTGTAACGTGTTATCGTGTTACAACATATACATCAGCTTAAAGGAATATCTATCGTGATCCCTGTTCGATACACTTAATATGAACATAGGTAAACATTCCCATTGATACTCCTATACCTTTACTCCGAATTCAAGTCCTTATTATAAGCACATAATAATCATTACACGTACAATCATCTTTTTCATATAATCAAATTTTGTCCCGGTATTATAATAAACCGCCAAGGCTGAATCCCGTGGAAACGTTTTATCATCAATTTATACAAACCCTACTCCCGATCACAACTCCCACCCCGTATTTATAAGTATTAACTTTGTACGTAGAATAAGTATTTAGAATTAGTCTTAGTAAAAGCTTCAAAGACTGATATAGTCTCAGTAAAACGTAAATATAACGAGGATAGTCTCATAAAAACCTAAGACGAGCATAGTCTTAGTCAACCTATCGAAGTAACTACATTGTCTTGGAAAGAACCCCAAACGAACTACTTAATTCCTACAACTGAGACTCCACAACGACAACACCAGACAATAATCCATTGTGTCCAGAATTTCATCCTTGGGACACAAAAAATCTGTGCTTGTTGTAAAAATTAATAATTTTTTCTATTTTTTTTAGTATTTATTATGCGGGTCATTTTGACCCATAGGTAGTACTTGTGTTTCATATATATGTATCGGTAGTAGTTACAGGTTAATTATTGAACAATTAAATTCGGAGAGATGTCGGGCAATTGGAAATGTGCATTCGATTAGGAGTCCGTTTTACATTTAAGTGAAATTTCACTGCATACATCCATCAATTGTTCGTCGAAAATTGAATTCCGCTGAAGCTCTTTTGTTCATTCGTACTTGAAATGCGATAGTTTCATTCGTCGCATGATGAGAATCCGGCCGCTTGTTGTCATTGTGCGATGTATAAATACGTCCCGTTGTGTTTTCTCGGCAAAAGCAATTTTGCTCACTGAATATAATGCAGATTGTAATTAATTTAAATAAAGGAGGCACCTGTTTAACAACACAACTTGTATATATATATATACAACATTATAATGTGAACACGTTTCACAGGCTGAACTAGCAACAACACCATCAAGGGATTATCCTAAATGCCTTCCCAAACAATAAATTAATTTCTTCGTTGCCCTGCCATTCTGCTTTACAAATCTATCTTAACTTATTCGAACCAATTAACGCCGATCAAAGTTAGACGAAGGCAATTTGCAATGAAATTATGCAGCGTTTCGTAAATTAAAATCATCAATATACATATTACATCCCTTGATAGAGTTTAAACAAAACATTAATCAACATCAATCACAAACTTTGGCATATTATTAAATGATTCATCAATCATAATGATGGAATGCAATCATAATACAGTATGGAATGCAACAGCAAAGCATCCAATACATCCGTTCTGGTAATATGGACGTCAAAGATGAGACCATTGTCCAGAAACTGAAGATTAGCCAGAAAATAGTTTGGACCCATTTGCATAAGGCTGGTCCTAAAAAAAGGTCGATGTATGATGGGTGTCACACAAATTGACGAAAAAAAACTTTTTGGAGAGAATTGATGCTTGCGATTCTTTGCTGGAATGTAACGAAATCGACCCATTTTTGAAGCGGATGGTGACTGGCGATGAAAAATGGGTCACATACGAAAACAACAGGCGAAAAAGATAATGGTCCAATTGCGGTGAGCCGGCCAAGCTCGGATTAACGACCAAGAAGGTTTTGCTGTGTGTTTGGTAGGATTGGAAGGGCTGCTCCCTTCTGGCCAATCACTCAATTCAAACCTATACTGTCAACAACTGACCAGACTGTATCAGGCGCTTGACGAGAAGCGTCCAGAATTGGCCAATAGGAAGGGTGTTCCATCAAGACATCGCCAGGCCGTGCAGGTCTTTAAAGACGTGCCAAAAGCTCCGAGAGCTTGAAATATTTGCAAACTTTTCTTGATGGTAAGAAATTGGCCTCAAGAGAGGCTTGTGAAAATGAGCTGGTCAAGTTTTTTTTTCCAATGGAGACGAGGATTTCTTCAATCGCAAAATTATGAAATTGCCTTCAAAATGGACAAAAGTTATCGAACAAAACGGCACATATTTGATCTAAATCCGAAAATTCTAACTTGGTTAATTCCATCGTCGAAATAAACAGAAAAAAGGCTCAGAACTTTTTACTTCACCCAATATGTTTTTTTTAGAATACATTTTTCTGTAATCAACAACTTTCAAAAATGGAATTTGTATAAATAATTGGAAAACGTCTAATAGTTAGAATTCATATTCTGATTTTTTTTTTTTTTTTGAAACATTTTGATTAAACTTATTCAAAATAAATCAATCAAGTTTATATAATATTCAACAAATATTATGACAGTTTTTAGGTATATTTTATTAGGTTCGTCATATAGAAGTTAAATTACAATGAATTTAATTCAGTTAACTGTTAAAATAATTGTAATAATGACAGAGAAACAATAGAATTTTGTATCGTGCAAACATTCATTTGATAAATGCAGACCATTTTTTTTTAAATTCCGCATATTTCCAGTTTCAATTCACAGATGCTGCACCCATTGTTCCATCAAAAATCAACATTTATTGTGCAATATTGCGTGAATATTTCACACAGAAATTATATTCCTGGCGATTGTAAAGTAATCCATCTAGAAATGAGCCGGGAGGATAAATCAATGTCTGCACAGTCTGAATGTGAGCAGAGTCGTACGTGAGCTGAAAATGTCGCATACATTTTCTTGGGATAAAAGAGATTTGCTACTGTTTTCAAGCTAAATATTTTCATTTCCATTTTTATATCCTCCCCCAAATGGAATAAAGATTGAGCCGAGGCGAAGAATCAATTAAATGTTCAAATATTTTCTCCATTACGTTAAGTAATAACAAATAAGATACATTCACGAAATTATCTTCAAATTTAATAATAACAACTTATAAACATTTAACGATTATTGCATTAAGTTTACTGACTTTATGCTGACTTTTCTTCTTTTAGTCAATAAAATAATTGAAAATTTTTAAGATATTTACTGTTATTTTTGAAATGAAATGGAAATTTTATTATTGAGAAAAACTATAATTACAACATTTTATTACTAATGATCTTACATAAAACTTTATAGACTTTGAATGATTTCACAAATACTCCCAAAATTGTTCTATTTGCCAGAGGAAGATGACAATAAGCGAACTGAGATTGTTCTCGAGATACTCGTCGAGATTATATAGATTTAACAAATCCTTTGTAAACACGTCGGAGACATGGAGATTTCACTTAAATAGGAACATGTAAATCCTTCTGCAAGACTGAAAGTTTTAATATTAAAAATAAAGGTAATAAGGATTATATCGAAAATGTGTACACGTATATTTATATCTCTGACCTATCGAT